ATATTATATTGTTTAAATATTTTTTCTTTATAAATTAAAAAATAAATGTAATTTTATTTTATAAGATTGTCCTTTTTATTAATTTACTTTTTTTTTTTTTTTTTTTTTTCTTTTTCTTTTAATATATAGTATCCTCATAATATTCATCTAAAAAAATATGAGGAGATAATATTTCTTCGAATTTTTTTAATTATGAAAAAAATAATCTTAATAAATTTAAATAATTCAATTAAAAGGTTATATTCTTTATGATTATTAGAGAAAATTTTTCTTTTTAATTGTTTAAAAAGAATGTAAATATAGAACACATTTTTTCCCTTCATATAATGATTTCCTATTTTCCTTTTTATTTTTTCATTTCTGATTACTTTTTATCTTTATTCTCTTCTCTCATTTACTTTTATCATTTTTTTTTTAATTAGATGAAAAAAGATAATCTTAGTGAAAATGTAAGAAGAGTATTAGAAAAGAAAGAAAAAAAAAAGTTGAAAGAAGAAAAAGAGTTATATAAAGCTACTCAAGTTATAAGTTCACAAAATAATATACTCAGAAAGTTAATAGCACAAAAGCAATCATCATCTACTAGTTTTGTTAATCAATTAAAAAATATAAATAAATCATTACCGCAAACAAAAAGTAAAAATGAGAAAAATTATATGAAAGAAAATCGTTTAAAAATTCAAGAGAAAATATCTCTTCAAAAAAAGTTGTTAGAAAAAGAAGAAGAGATAAAAAATAAAAAGCCTTTTAAAATGAAAAAATTTGAAAAGGTTACTTCTAAAATAGCAAAAACATTAAGAAAAAATGAACAAGAAAATGAAAATAAAAAAAGGGAAGATATTGAAAAGGAAAATACAAAAGTTGAAAAAGAAGAAATTAATAGAGAAATACTGGAAGAGAATGAAGGAGAAGAGTATGAAGAAGGTGAAGAATGTGAAGAAGGTGAAGAATGTGGAGAAGAGGGATTTGAAAAAGTTAAAGAATATAAAGAAGAAAGTAATGAAGGAGAATATGAAGATGAAGAGGGAGAAGTTGAAATTGAAGAAGAAGAAGAAGAAGAATATGAATATGAAGAAACTGATCAAGAATATGAGGAAGTTGAAGAAATGGAGTATCATGAGGATGAAGAAGTAGGTGAAGAGGAGGAATTTGAAGAGGTGGAATATGAAGAAGAAACAAATGAAAAAAGAGATGTGGAAAAAACAGAAAAAAGCATAATAGATAAATTAAAAAAAAAAGAAAATAATGTAAAATATGAAAATGTGAGAAAAGAAAAACTACATAAAAATTATGGGAAATTGCCTAATTATATATTAAAAAAAAAAAAAGATGTCACTGATGAATATGCTGATATACCTAAAGGATATAGAGTTTTAAAAAATGATGAACGCAATTTTGTTTTAAAAGAGTTACATTCACAATTAAAAGAAATAAATGAAGAATATAAAAATAATAAAGATAAAATTAAAAAAATAGAACTTGGAAAAAAATTAAAAGAAATAAAAGAGTCTATTGAATTATTTAGCAATCCATATGTTCTTGTAGATGAAAATTTTTAGAAAAAAAAAAAAAAAAAAAAGAAAAAAGTTTTATTTAAATATTATTATTATTTTTTTTATTCTACTTTTTTTATTAATTTATAATATTTCTTTATAATAATACATTACATAATTCTTTTTTTTTAAATATAATACCAAAATGGAAACATAAAAAATTTATAAGAAAATTATACTTTATAAATTATGTAATGTATAAAATGTCTAAGGTAATAAAAAAAAAAAAAACACTTTTTTGATACCAAAAAAAAAAAAAAAAAAAAAAAAAAAAAAAAAAAAAAAAAAAAAAAAAAAACTAAAATAATAATATATATAGTTACCTCTGAATTATAAAGTAACATCAAGTAGGCATATATATATATATATATATCATATAAGCAATAGTCAATATAAAATATAAAAAAAAAAAAAAAAAATGTTATTCAAAGTTTCTAATTGAACAACATTCGATAAAAACAAAAAAAGAGTTAAGATAATAATTATTTTTTGTTTATTTTAATTTTCATATATTTTTCTGAAATGTTAAAAAAAAATTTGTTTTATTGTCTTAAATGAGCTGTTAATCTATCAGGTAAGGTATCCATAACACATGTTCCTATAGCAAAAAGAAAAAGAAAAAAAAAAAAAAAATACAAGAAAATTAGTATTATGAATAGGTTTAACAATAATAATGTTAGTTTTAACTGTGACAAAATGTATTTACAAAAAAATTTAATATGAATTAAAAAAAATTTGAAGTTTTTTTTTTTTTTTTTTTTTTATTCATTACCTTTTTGTCTATGATCATCCCATTCTTCAAGCTGTTCAGCAGTACAAGCAATCTGTGCACGATAATATTGGAATCTACAAAAAAAAAAAAAAAAAAAAGAATCATAAATATATATATATATATATATACTTCTATATATTTCTATATATTTGTATATATTTCTATATTTATAAACATTACTTGCAACGAGGATCATCTTCACCTAATTCTCTAGCGCATCTACAAAATAAAGTGTATCTATATACACAATGATTGTGTTGATTTATTTGTAAAAATCGAGGATCCTATAAAATAGAAAGTATTTGAAAGATACATATTAAATTATTTTTATATGAATTAATTGAAATCAAGCATTATTTTGTAATTATAAAAAGAAAAAAATTTTATTTACATATATATCATATAAATATATGTGGTAAATATCATAATATAATAAAATTATTTAATATTATTTATATACTTACACTAGCATGAGGATTCTGCGAAGTTAGTTCATCATAATTTTTTATAAATTTATAACTTAAATAATTCAAATCACTCATTTTATTAACAATAATTTTTATTATTTACATATATACATATATATAAATTAATATATTTTATAAATATAAAAAAAAAAAAATTAACTAAATATACAATTTTTTCATTAGTATTGTATTACAAATAAAAAAAAAAAAATATATATTTTGCTATATAATATTCTTTATTCCTATGAAAATTATTCAGTTCATTTTTATTATAGAAATTTTTAAATATTTCATTTTTATTTTTATTTATATTTTTTTTTTTTCAAAAATTACAATTCAATTTTATATTTATTTTTACTAAAAATTTTGCATTTAACTTATTAGGTAGTTATTTGTTTTTTATTACATATAAATTTTTTTTTTATTAAATATAAAAATATACCAAGTTTATTTATTTTTTTTTTTTAAATTACTGCACGTAGATATTATAATAAGCAGAAAGTGGTATAGATTAAATTTTTTTTATGAAATATAAATTTTGTGATGATTGAATTAAAAGCTTTAGTAAGAAAACAAACTTGAAACTATAAAACTTTTTTTTTTTTTTTTTATTTTTTTAAAATATATTAAGTATGTTTTATTTATTGTAATATTAAGCATTTTTTTAGATAATAATTATATATAAATATATAAATATATAAATATATATATATATATATATAAATATATATATATATATATATATATACTCTTATTTTATTTTTTAAATTTAAAATTTTATATTTATTTGTCTTTGTTTTTTTAATATAACATGTTTTATTGTTATATCATTTTTTTTTTTTATTTTTTCATTTTGTTTTATATTTTATTATTTTAATTCATTTAATATATTTATATTTATGTTTTAATTTATAATTTTTTATTCTGTTTTTATATAATATTCATTTTTTTCATTTTTATTTTTATATTTTCTGTTATTCATTATTTTTTTTTTTTTTTTAATTTGAACCATTATTAGTAGAAATAGCATACATACATTTTATTATATTGTATAAAAAAGATAATTTTTTTTTATGTTTTTATAAAGATTTTTATTGTCTTTTTAATATTTATTAAAATTTTTTTTTTTTTTTTGTGTATATTTTAAATTCTTTTATTTGCAAATGCTGTGGCATTATTCGTATGCATTTTTATAGAGAAATTCTGGCGTATTTTAAGTTATACATGCATATGATAATGTGTTTTAACTAATTTTATAAAATGATAATCGTATAAGGAAATATGTTAAAAGTTGTATACTCTAAGTGATATATTAATTATATTTTGCAAAAATATAAAAAAAAAAAAAAAATAAATAAATAAACATATTGAAATAAGAATAAAATTATATATTTATAGAGTTAAAAATAAATAAAAGAATAATATAATGACATTTATAAAATATATGTAAAAATATAAGAATTTTGTGGTTTATTTAAAAGAAATATTTTAAAATATATATGAAAATTTTTAAGATGTTTTAAAATAAATATTTTAAATTGTAAAAAAAATAAAATACAATTGTAAAAATATTCCAAAAGTATTATTATAGATTATGTCATAATTGTTTTGAAAAAATATTTTTTCATAATAGAAGAGAGTGCATAAAATAATATTGTATCAATTTAAATAATATATATATATATATATATATATATATATATATATATATATATATATATATATATGTATATTATTTTATTTACCTATTAATATTTGATTTTCAATTAAAAAAGATGAAAAAAAAAAGAAATAATGTAAATACTTACGGATTGTATAAAAGAAAATATATAATTACGGGTGTAACTCTTTTATCTTTTATTCTTATGTTTCAATATAAATATCATGAAGTATTATCAGTGTATGATGATCAAATAAATGTTAAACAAAGTAGTAAGTTATTTTGGACTCGTTTAATATTTGGAAGAACTAGAAGTAGAATTACAGGAAAAATTTTTAATATCGAAATTCCCTCTTCTTATCGTTTATTAGTTTATAACTCTTTAATAAAATATATGAATATAAATAAAGATGAAATAAAATATCCTATTGAATCATATAGATCTATTAGTGATTTTTTTTCAAGATATATAAGAGAAGAAACAAGGCCAATAGAGGATCTTAGTGATTATTCAATTGTTAGTCCTTGTGATAGTGAAATTATTGATTTTGGAGAATTAAAAACAGATTATCTTGAAAATATTAAGGGGTTAAAATTTAATGTCAAAAATTTTTTGGGATCTAATTTAAAAAAAAAGTATAATGATGATTCTACTAAATTTTATTATGTTATCTTTTATTTAAGTCCGAGAAAGTATCATCATTTTCATGCTCCTTTTAATTTTAAATATAAAATAAGAAGACACATATCAGGAGAATTATTTCCTGTTTTTCAAGGAATGTTTAAATTTATTAATAATTTATTTGATATAAATGAACGAGTTATATTAACAGGAGAATGGAAAGGGGGAAATGTTTATTATGCAGCTGTGAGTGCATACAATGTTGGTAACATTAAAATTATAAATGATGATGATTTATTAACTAATAATTTACGAACCCAATTAAGTTATATGGGTGGAGATATTGATACCAAAATTTATGATAACTATAAAGATTTAGAAGTTGGAGATGAAATAGGAGAATTTAAAATGGGTTCATCTATAATTTTAATATTTGAAAATAAAAGTGATTTCTTATGGAATATCAAACATAATCAAAATGTTTGTGTTGGTCAAAGAATAGGAGGGATAAATGAAATAATAGAATCAAAAGATAGATTTATTAAAATTAGAAGCTAACAAATATTTATTAACTTTAATATTATTTCTAATATTTTCTCATTTTTTTTAAAAATTATTAGAATATATATTATATTTTTATAACTTTTTTATATAATATATAGATTTTCATATATATACACTGTTGTGTATTACTTTCTAATTAAATATTTTGGTTCTTTCATACGAATTATATATACTTTTCTTAATTTATATATATTTTATTTTATT